CATCTGATCATGCGACGGACAATCCATCTGATGTGGGCTACGTTGGCAAGCCTCATGTGGATAGTAGCAGCAAGGATGCTGCTCACCCTTGTCATGGTGATGGAAGTTTCAGTGCACACGCTCCTCCGTCCAGCAAAGGCGTCGTTCACAACAAGTTGAAGAAGGTTTCTTCGTTCAGTGCTGGAAGCGCAGATGCGTATCTGAACCAGTAACACCTGTCGATAATCGACGTAGCGGGTTAATTCATAAGCAGACGACGACAGAACAGCCATGGCTGCTGGGATTCGAAGTTGATTGTCACAAACGCATTCACTGTAGCTGTTGGATCCATGTTATACTCCAAATAGCGTTTGCCCAATTCATAAAACCTCGAAACAAATTCAATGACTGAACATTTATACCTGACGACCTCCATTCATCACTAACCCAACATGGTGAGAAAACGAGCTCCGCAGGCCACGAAAATTCAAGCGACAACGTTACGCTACCGTCGTTAACCATTTAGCGCGTCAACGTTGTGATGGACCAACACTCGCAATTCGGCGACGACAGTTACGGCTCCACTCTACAGGTCTCATAGGGACAACAGCCCAAAATTTTGCGCCGACCTCCAAGCAGCAGCATTATTCGAAACTACTCATGGCGATGGCGCACGGATCGCCTGCCGCAAGCCTGTTACACATTACTCGGTCGCTGCGAAAACCCTGCGGTCTTGAAGACGTGGTCTTAGCCACCGGTACCACGAGAAGGCTGTAAAAAAGAAGCACTTACAACGCCTCTGATTGGTTAGCAATGATTTCGTGTGCAAAACATCATTAAGTGTGTCACATCACACCCTATTTAAGGAAATCCAGCCAATGACCGTGCTTCAATCTTTGAGAAAAGACCGTTCACTGGCTAAAACTCTGACTTTTTCGACATTCAGTTCAAAATAACCCAGCTACGTCTCTCAGTCTAGAAAACGCCCTCCAGCCAAGCAGTCCGCAGTCGAGCAGCTCCAATCGGTCGCTCCTCTATCTGCCCCTCGCGCCCACGTCAGCAACTAGCAACTCGACACCCACAGCGTGTGTGTTGTATCGTCTTGCTGATCCCCTCCGCCGCCTTTGTACCGGTCAATCCCGACCTCTGGCGTCCAAATTGAGCAACTCTGAGTTCCCTGACGCTTCGCCGAGTCCACTGGTTGTGGGAGTGGAGAGTAGCCCCGCACCGAGCTTGCCGTCAGGAGTAAACACACACTTTCCGACAGTGACGTCATCGACGAGCAACCGAATCGGCGGCGCAGTCAACGGATGGGATAAGTTTGCTGGGCCAAGACCGACCGACACGCGACGACAGTGCCTTGCTTACTAGAGAGAAGAAGAAAAGAACAAGCGTGCCTTGCAGCGAGTCCAGAGGACTGTTGACCACCCACCTATTTTTACTATAGAAACTTGCCGAGAGACACGATGATCGCGCCGACGAACAAGCCGACCATGGTCAAGTGGGAGCACCTGTCCTTCGTGATCATGGACGCCCCCAACGACAGCAATCTGCACATTTACCTCAAAGAGCTCAAGAAGCACAACGTCACGGACCTCGTGCGCGCCTGCGAGGTCACGTACAGTAGCGAGTCAGTGGAAGCCGCCGGTATCCACGTGCACGAACTCGAGTTTCCCGACGGCGAGTCTCCCGACCCGGAGATTCTGGATCAGTGGCTTGATCTGGTCGAAACGTGCTTTAAGGACAACGCTATTGACTCCAAGAACAACAAGTCGATTGCGGTGCATTGCGTCGCAGGACTCGGACGGTGAGTGGTTAGACTTTCACGCCCTAAAATTATGAGATACTGACTCTATTTTTGTTAAATAATGCAGAGCCCCCGTGCTAGTAGCCATCGCGTTGATCGAGTACGGATTGGACCC